TGACTTTTTTAAAAAAGTCATAGCATTATTTAAAAATTTCATTAGGTTTTCATAAAATCATCATTATTTTGGAACCGGTGGGCGGTCAGAAAATTTTACTACTAACAGAGATACAAAATTGGGCGGTAGGTATAAAAAGGTTGACTACCCCTGGCATAAATGTTTGTCAGAAATTGTGCATTCCAGGAAAGGGGAGTCATATACTCCACAATTTTGCTTACAGAAGCTTTGTGGAATGCACATTTTATTCTCTTATAAAGAACCACTAATCTCCATTTTGTATAAAGACCTTGCATGCCATGCAAACAAGACTGCGCTGGACAATCATTCTGCAGCTTAGCCAACCTACAAACAGTTTTGGGAGGCCTTTTGAATTTCCAAAGTTTTCATTCACCTATGGAAAACACTGCTTGGCTTTGTTCATTCTTGCACTGGATGTTCAAACTTAATTTCATAAGAAAAATATACAGAACAGGTATGAAACTCCAAAACTAAAGGGCATGTTTACACTCTTTCCCTCTAAAATGAAAATACAATGAGATGATACATCCTTTGTGATATTTCTGTGCTTTCGCTCTAGAAGCCAGAGGGTGAGGAGATGGGATTTCTTCCCCCTGCCCGCAGCCCCTTAGTTTTTATTAAAAATAAAATAAATTATTTAACAATGTTTGATACTTTATTACTTTGGTAAGCCAGACAACACATGACTTTGTGTAGCATATTTAATATTCTGAAATCCTCATATGAATACATACATATATGTATATATATATATTTATATATAATAATAATAATTACACCTGAGTTTAAAAAAAAACACAACATAAGGGAATTAAATGTCTTTGTCACCAAAAGTGGCTCTGAACAGCCGTACATAAAACTGATGTAACCCGTCTCTTTAAAAAGATGACTTGCACCATCTTTTCAAGCTGCTTTGAGGCCTGGAAATCGTTCCATGTGGCTTTGTGCGACATTATGGAAAGTTACAGGCCACATGGAAAAAGTCCACGACAGATGCCTTTTCTGGAAATTGGGGCATAGTGTTTTTATGTTATGAATTGTATGCCCTGAGGCAATCCTGCTTTGGTTGGTGGGTAACCCGGGACTCATCTAAAGGCACCAGTCTGCAACAATTTGACCAATTTTATCCACATATGAAGTAGTTCAGTCTAGCTCTTTGTGATTTACCGCATGACATTTTATAGGACAGACTATCTTTGCTCAAATTGCTGACAAAGTATTTTTAAGAGGAGCCTCCACAGCAGGCTCCTGTAGCTGGCCAGGGATACCCAGTTCAGATGCTGTTCCTATCTACTAGCATGGAAGGTCACTTTTGATAGCAAGGAGGTTCTACATTCTCTTTCTGCCACAATTTTCTTCTCACAGAGATCACATGAGATGGGGCATGGGTCTGAAAGATGTGCTTTGGTCAATAGTGGTCCCTTCTCCCCCTCTCCCTGCTCTCTCTACCATTCCATATACAGTTTAAGAGAACTTTACAGGAGAATCAGTACAGCTTAATATAGATTTACATCTGTCCTATAACGAAAAAAAGAGAGGGGAATTCATCTTTGACAGTAACTGGAACCAATACACAAACAGAGTATTGCACATGGACATAATCATAATTATTCTTTCATAGGATAATTTTAATAATATGCCTGAACATGCAGCAGTTGATACCTCTATATTCATTGAGTCCCACAGGCCTTGCAATAAACATCTATATACAAATCTCACTTGTACAGAGAGAGGGGGGGAGGGGGGAGGGAGAGAGGGAGAGAAAAGAAAGGAAAAGTTGGGAAAACGCTTTATGACTCTGTCTCCCCATATCCAAAAGTCAGCCTCCATAGCAAATATACTTTATGCATAGACAATACGCTTTATTAATATTTTTTCCAGAGAAAAAGGTCATATACCATAATTAGGAATGGTCAAATGACAAGTGTTAAATGACTAAGGAAGTGTTTAGAAGAAAATCACAACCAATTCAAACATGTAAATTTTATAATAAAGTGTCTATGGGGCTTCACTTTTGGTACACCCTGTATGTAAGTGTGCGTGTATGTTTGTGTGTGTGTTTATGAAAAATCCAAGTGCAACAAATAAAAAGGATTCCCTTAACTGTTCATTCAGTATATATATATGAATGTGAATGATACATATACAAGCACGCATGTCCACGCTCACATATACAAAAATGCAGTATTCCCAGAAATATGAGTAAATAACACTATCAGCATATCTACAAGCGGTAACTTCACATTTCTTTCTTAATGTATTTTCCACATGAGTTACCAGTTTGTCATGGTTACACAAGGAATCCATTTACAACCTTCAACAATGTCAGTTTTTGAATCTGGATCTTAGTCTCTCCCTCCTTTTTCATTTCATTGAATGGCTTTGCTTTGCTTTGCTTTGCTTTGCTTTGTGGTTTTCCTATTGACCACAGTTATCACATCAGTTCTTTCAAAGCTTTTCACAACCAAACAGTAGTACTACTGGGCTGACCCACAGTACAGTAGTATGGCGTTCCAGGATCTCCATCTCCAGCCCTCTGCTGTTGCCCAGGACCCCTTTACACAGAGGTCCCCGGAATACGACGGAGGTAACTGGAGGTGAGCATTCAGCAAAGAGAAAGGGAGGACAAAGACTATATACAATGAAGGATGGGTCATCCCATTTTTGTGGGTAAAAGCCTGCAAAAGTAACACACTGCTATTGAAGTTAAAATTAAATAAGCAAAGCAGGTCATCATTTAGGTTCAATACATAAAAAAGAGGCTCCCCATCCCCCTTAAGTCCCCTTCACACCTGTCAATGCACCAATGACATAAACAATTTAGGCACATGCTTTTAAACAGTTTTAGTATGGAAGGATTATCATGAATATGGCAAAGCAGCTGTAAGAACTGTAGAAAACCTATGCTGCTTTATTAAAGCTAGTATAGGCTTTTGGAGAATTTGTCCATTCTTAGCCCTTTAAACACCTGTCTTTGTAGCATTTGTGTTAGTGATTTTTTAATTAAAAAAATTAGTTATAATTTCTAAATAAAAACTTTTAAAAAGTCATGTATTCTTTAAAAATATAGCTTTTTCCTGAAATGTTTTCCATAGCATTTATTATTTTAATCACAATGCTTTCAGTCAGAGTATTTGCTTTTTCAAGACCCAGCCTTGCAACAAAATGCTCCTTAAAATATATATGTTGGGTGGGTGGGGGAGGAAGTGTAAAATCATTTTTTCCCGTTCACTGCTGTATCACAGCATGGCTTGGTAATGTTTTAGCAAGCTGCTCTACTATAAGTATGGATGAGACCCTTAGAAAAGGGAAGGGTAGGATTCCTTCCTGTCAGTTAATTGCATTTCTAGAAAAAAAGTTTAAAGAAACAGATTTCAAGAAGATCATCTGAGTTTCTAACTATGTTTTCAATGAGTGTTTGCTTAATAATAAGTTCCATTGTGTTTGAGGTTTAGTTGTGGGTTAAAAGTGCCACAGTTCAGCCTCAGAACCATAATATGGAAGTCCTGCATAGCATACAATGGCTTTTTCATCCTGATGACATTCTCCCATCAGAATTAAGAGGAAATGATCCCCAGCAATTGACTGTCTTATTCCTGGGCAGCTATCAATTCACAAGCTTAAAGCAGCCCTTGTCCCACTAAGACCTGGTTCTGACTAGGACAGTGCAACACCAAGAAGCAGTTAGAGAAAGAGTTGGCATCAGTGTGTCCATCACTAGCATTTTCTTTGTAACTTTCTTGTTTTCTCTGTGTCTGATGCATCTTTACCCTGAAAGAAGTCCATATATCATGGCAACTTCTGATTGCATGTGGAAAGCTGCCTTTTCTTTTGATCTGATTGTGAAAAAGATTAGGGCGGATTATGTAGGTTTGTTCACATCTTTGAATTCTGAGAATTATCAACATGCTGCCCTCTGTTGCTTCTAATCACAATGAGGGTTTTTAAATCAACCAAGGCAGTGTATTTTTTTTAAAAATCTGAGTTCTGAAAAATTGTAGTGTATCAACAGGTTTCAGTTACCTCTTCATTTAACCCTCCGAGGTTAAATGGATGAAAACTATTTTCAGCTGCTTTTGTGGATTTCAGCCTCTACACAGTTTATTAAACTATTTATGTGTACTAGAACTAAGTGGGTTTCTAGCATCTCTTTCGCCACCAGGTAAAGAGCAAGCAGTGTGGCAAGAATGCCTTGGGACAGCAATTAATGAAGGCATACCTGGTATTATAACGGAGCATCAATTAGTAGCCATATTGAGCAAGATAAGATCTCAGCTCTCATATATTTAAAATGCTTGCCTTTCAAAGGTAAATGCTTCATTAAATTTATTTTGAATATTGGAAACCTGGCATCTCCATTCTATGCACATGAATTGGAAAGAAATGGTTCTATAAATTACTTGCATGATTAGCCCAAATGTGTAAAAACATTTAACCGAGTGTTGGAGCCAGACTTAATTAAAGCAGGCCTAATAAAGGAACTGAATTTAAATTAGCCGAAGCAAGATGAAATCTGAATTATTTCAGTGAATCTAAATCTAAGGACAAGAATATGGGAGTTTGTTCTCCATCAGACTAAATACAGTTGCTGGCAACTACAGTAGAAACTACAATCCAAATTAGAATAGTAGCAGGAGACAAAGTTAAAGGCCCCCAATCCCCAATCTATTTTGGTGTGCTTTTAAAGTAACCTTGAGCCTGAAATTTTTAAAATGTGCAGTCCTAAGACTGGAGAGGTGGAGTGGAGAGGTGTCTAACACTTACTCATAGCAGCTGCTTTCTCCTCTCCAAATGGTTCCCAAAGGTTTTGTCTCCCCAGGTAAGATTTAAAACCAGTGTTTATCTTCTAAGACATAGTTTTTCGATAGCAGCAACATTAAGATGTGTAGATTTCAACTCCCAGCATTCCAACATAGGGAATTCTGGGAGTTGAAGTCCACACATTTTAAAGATGCTGAGGTCGAAAAACACCATTCTAAAACACACAACATAACTTTGAGAAGATCACATTTGACAGAGTAGAGCATATTTCTCTTGCCTGACACTATGCAAAACTTCAGTTTCCTAAGGTTGCATTCTATGGAAAGAGTTGCCTGTTGAGGAATTGAAGTTCACTGCAAACCTATCCATTTGAATGTTAAGGATGTAAACTCAACTATTCCTGTTGACAATTTATTGAAATCAATGGCAAAAGGGTTTTACATTTATCTCTCATGCTTCATAAGGCCCCTAGCAATCATTGCAGAATGCAATGAGCTGATTCCAAGCTCAGTAAATCTTATGGCTGATTTATAGATTCATATCTGAGTTGAAAATAAGTCATAATGGAGTATTTCTCTCTGTCCATAATCATATAACAAATATACTTATCCATCTAGCACAATGTGATGAGATACCTATTTATGGTAACTTGGAAAAAAGTTATATTCCTCCCCCCCACATACTCTAGACCATAATTTCAAGCCTTAAAAGATGAAGCTAAAATTCCTAGTGATTTTTAAATATTAAAAATGGCTGAACAAATTACTTTTGACAGTGCCTGATGATTTTAAAAAAGGCAAAGCCTTCCTGAAATTAAAAGAAAGTCTGAGTAGAAAGAGAGAACAAGAGACACAGCAGCAAAAAACAACAACAGCAATGTGTTACCTTTACAATTTCTAATACAAAATATTTTGCATTGCTCTGTAAAACAGCTAATATGAGTGCCTCCAGATCAAAGAAATATAACAATAAATAGACAGTAGAAAGTAATGGGTTTAGGCTCATGATCAGAGAAGCAGTTCTTGATGATGTAGCTGGAGGATTTTTCAGAACACAACTTGCAGCATCTGCGATCTGGTGGTTCCAATTTAGGGGTGGGGGAAATATCTTATGGCAGCAGCTCTTCTCCAAAATATGAGAAGCCTTTAAATTCTTCTTGGTTGATTTGCTTTATAATTGTCTCATCCACTTGTGTTAATATTGGGTCTTCTCGTGTAAAGTCTTGATCAAAGTTATTTACATCCCTTTTGGTTTTCTGAGAAACAAAAGCAAAAGATGAAGAATGAGTGGTGTTCTTGGACCAATAACCATCTTTAAAAAAAAAAAAGCAGTGATTTGTCTTCTAAAGCAGGGGTTGGGAACCATGGCCCTTTTAGGACTTGGGAACTTCAACACCAGTGGTGGGTTTCAACATTTTTTAGAACCTCTTCTGTGGGTGTGGCCTGCTTTGTGGGAGTGGCTTGCCGGCCATGTGACCGTGTGGGAGTGGCTTGCCAGCCATGTGACTGGGTGGGAGTACCTTGCCAGCCATGTGACTGGGGGACCGTGGCCAACTTGTAAAATGTGGTGAAACTCACTTAACAATGCTCTTGCTTAGCAACCAAAATGTTAGCTCAGAAACTCTGGCATTTGGAGCACACAAATCTTAAAACTTTCAAGTTATAAGACCCTTGCAATCCTAATCCTTTAGAAAAAAAATCCCCAGGGGTGTTCAAACTTGACAGCTTTAAGACTTGTGGACTTCAACTCCCAGAATTCTTCCTCTTGCTCTTCAACTTGATGATGTGTAGATGGGCGGGGGGGAGGGAGCTGGAACCGGTTCTAAATGGCACTGTAGATTTGTGAAACCTATTCTATAGAAGAGGTTAGAATTGGCAGAAACCCACCCCTGTTCAACACCCTGAATTCCTGAGCAAGTCCTAAAAGGGCCATGGTTTCCCACCCCTGTTCTAAAGGAAAGTGGTTCCATTTCATACACACAGGTTTCTCCCTTCCCCCTCCCTCTCCCTCTCTCACATACACACCATACAGGAGAAGATGAGAAAAGAAGGTGGCCAAATCAGGATGCAGAAGCAAAGAATGATACTGGATAATTAGCCATTAGCCTTTAATTGAGAAGATGGAAGCAAAATGTTGGTATTTATAACTTAAATCATACCACACCACAATAATTTGGATAAATGAATGATGGATTCAAACATAATTTGTCCGGAAATAGCATAATGGTTTGATTACAAATATAGGGAAGCATACGATCCCTTTTACTGATGATGAATATGACATAAAGTAAGCAAAATCTCACAAATTCGCAGCTTTTGCATCTTTAGGATCTAGCAGTGATTGTTTTTCACATACAGAACTTTTACAACTGAGCTGTGGAAGATCCACCATCTACAGTCCTGATATGCTGAGTGCCAATTCTGATCACGATGGCAGCTATTATGAACATATCAGTAAAATTGGCATACAATCAGTGATTGTACCTATTTAGCATACTTACTACAATACAGGTACTCTAAATTCACTAATAAACTAACCATCAATGAAGTGCTTCCTGTTCCAGATTTGTTCTTCCACGGAAGAAACTTACCTCTTGAAACATCTTTAGTTCACTGGTTTCCAAAATATGTTTTCAGAGAATGACACAAGCTCCCAATGTGCTCTTCACAATGTTTATTTTAACTTGGCAGAGATTCAAAATATTTACATACAAGAGCCATGATGGCTCAGTGATTAGAAGGCAGCATTGCAAGCTAACTCTGCCCACAGCCAGAAGCTTGGGAGTTTGAACCTTGGCTCAATTTTGACTCAGCCTTCCATCCTTCCGAGGTCAGTAAAATGAGCAATTTTACTTGGGAACAATATGCTGACATTTGTAAACCACTTAGAGAATGCAATAAAGCATTATGAAGCGGTATGGAAGCATATGCAAAAGCCTAGTTGTAACATAAAAGGAAAAGGAATATATATCCAGTTTTCCAAATATCTCTTTCTCACTCCAGTCCCTTTGCTATACCTTAAAAAGCTAGCTATGAAACCACAGCTCAATCATTAATTTACCTGGTCTTGATAACAGATAAATGTTTTACTCATATTTAGGCAAATGCACCTCCTTCTCTTTGTTTATGAAGGCAAGCCATGGATTGTTTTCCGAAGCAGGTATGAATTTTTGAAAGGGCCTAAGAAGTTATGGCTGGATCATTATAGTCCTTGACTTATGACCACAACTGAGCCCAACTGTTGCTATGCAAGGCAGTTATTTAAGTGAGTTTTGCTCCATTTTATGAGCTTGCCACAGCTTGTCAGGTGATCACAAAAGATGATAACATGACCCTGGAACATTGCAACATCATAAATACATGCAAATTTCCAAGCATCTGAATTTTGATCATGTGATCATGGGGATGCTGCAATGATTGTAAGTGCAACAACCTGTCGTAAGTCACTTTTTTTCAGTGTTGTTGTAACTTTGAATGGTTACTAAAAGAATAGTTCCAACTCAAGGACTACTTCTATATAATGTTCACCTTTTGTATACCACTAATCTCAAATGGTTTTCTACAATTACTGAAATAAAAAAGACATCATTTGATTAAAGTCTCCCAAGCAAGAAGAAATCAGAGTGTTTTCATTATAATTCAATAGAGAATTAAGAACAGAAATGTAATTACTAAAATTGGAGTGTGTAATGTTTCCAAGCAAATTCTTCTCACAGAAACTTTCTTGCAACTATTAGCATTGTATATCCCACAATTTGTAGAGAAATGAATGAATTTGCATGGACTTGGGAAGCATATACAAAACATGCATTGCCTCAGAAATCTTTGTACATGATAGCCTTCTTCAAAATGATGCTTTCCAAATGTTTTAAAATACATTTTCTTATCTGACAACTATGGGTAGGCTAAAAATAGGGAAGGTACCATTACAGTATTTATGTATACAATGTATATCTCTTTTTTATTGTTGAAAACAATAAAAACTATCACACGATAGACTACTTTAGAACAATATATAAAGCAGACTGTCAGTTTTTAAACTGGTTTTCTGCACTTTTCATTGGATGGTTGTCTTGCTGATATGATCATACATCTCGGTTGGGATGCTTTCTGCCAGCCAAACTACGATTAAAAGCAGCTGAACAAGCCAAATCTCTTGGCAGCAATACTGCAAAGTCGGTAAGTCCTCAAATATAGACATATTCCTTAGATTGGCAACTTCCTATTGCTGTTAAAGGACCTGTCAAAGGAGGATCATTGCCTCTGAAAAGAAATCTGAAAAAAAAATCAGTGTTCTTCTGCTTTCAGCACTGAATTAGAGGATTTTATTACCCTACTGCAAATTTCTATTTTCCCCTGTGTTCTTCTAGTCTTTTTAAAAACCAGCTGAATGCACCATTTTCATAACTTTGAGGAAAACTGTAGTGCCAGAAGGTTAAATAAGACCATGCTGTTCAAGTTCACAATTACAAGAGGAATTTGTGATGCATTCAATACAATCTTGTCTTTTCATATTCCTTGCTCTATCCCATATTTGTAGTTAATTGTCCTTCGGAACAACCAATCAACTACAGCAAAGTCTTTTTTTCCTATTGTGTTTCAAATGTTTTACATCTATTGTATTTTTATAGCTATAGTGCAACTGATCTGTTAATCTGTTAATGCATAAAGCAAAAAAGCTAAAAACTCAGGTGTGCATAAGCCTACCGTCCCTGTCCTACTGTCCCCACTTATTCATATGCATTTTCTATATTTATAATATTTATTTATTTATACTTTATACTTTATTATTTATTTATTTATCCTTATATCTGTTATCTTATACATGCTTGATAAAATAGAATAAAATAAATAAATAAATAATTTCAATCTATACCTCAACACATGTTTTACTCAAATTTGCACCTTCTTGTTTTAGATTAATCCTCCCTTGAAAATGTTCTACTTCTTTCTTATTAAAGTGCCCCCAGCCTCTGTCTCCCACTTCCGAGTTCAGAACACAGACAGAAGGTCCCACCTAGCTTTTGGTTTCAATAGAATAGCCCTTGAATCCATTGGATATCTGGATTTGCTTTGAGCTGTGTCTACCAAAAAGCTGCAGTAATGATATCCTCTTTCTGAAACAGCCTAGTATCTCAGTCGTGAGACTTTTTTTTAACCATGTGTTAAACAAAGTAAGTGATTCTGGACTTGAGAACTAAAGATTTATAGGAAGCAAGAAATCAAGATGAGATTAATGATACATTCAAGGTGAGACAGGAAGTTATGGGGAAATCTAAAGCCAAGAGTTAAGAGAAAAGAGAAGAAAAAGAAAATGCTGTATAAAAAAGAGCTGTACAAGTAACCAACATGAAAATCTCACTTAATTGGATTTAGAATATTTCCAGTAAATTAAGTAACATAAAGTAAAAAAAAAAACATTTTACTGAAACTGACACATTTATTCACTGCTCATAATGGTTATTTTAAAACACTGTCAGTGACATTATTCATAAAATTTTGCAAGATCAGACAAAATAGCACTATTATGAACTACAAGGCTTAGATACATAATAATATACAAGCATATACAGAACCGATTTTGTTCTTTCTTTGGCAAAAGGAAGGAAATAACTCAAATACTATGAAGTGAGAAACTAAACATGGAGACAATGTAGAGTGGATAAATGGGAAAGGTTAAAAAGTCCTCAATGGAACTGCAGCTACATGGAGGGAAGTATGCAGTGGAGTACCCTAAGACTCTGTTTTAGACTCAGTACTCTTCAACATC